AAAATGTTACCAAGAATATTTGTGTAATTTTTAGTCCAAGCAAATCTCTTTATTCTCACTGGTGGACAAAGTACTCAACTCTAGTACTTGAGTAAAAGTACTGATACTCAGTGTCAAATCTACTCAACTGCAAGTAAAAGTTACTCCATCAAAAATCTATTCAAGTTAAAGTACTGAAGTACTTACTTTTGAAAATACTTAAGTATTCAAAAGTGCATGCATTTAAAAGTATTCAAGTACAAATAAAATTCTCTAATAAATACATTGCTGTATTGTTTTCAGAGTGAATTTACAGAACTTGTCACTCTCAGAAACCACCTGATGAAATGACACATAGAACCACTGTGGTACAAATTCTACACCACCTGTAAAGACTTCAGCATAAAAATACAATAAAGTGAGCGGTGAGTTCTTAAATGCACAAACGTAGTTTATCTGCGGTGAACAGATGTTTAAACTGATACAAAATATTTTTGACTGAAGCCAGTCCATGTTGATWAGGCTTCCAAATTAAATTAAAATTGTCTGACAAAGCAGCAGCTCTCATTTACAGTCGTCTCGTTCGGCTCGGTACTTCTCTCGTATCAGTAGGGTTGTTTACAATGAACACAATTTCCAGTTAGCTTCTTATCTTAGCCTCCTTCACAGTGGAGCTGGTGCACACAAACGGTGGAGCTGGTGCACACAAACGGTGCAGCCAACTGAGCCAATCATTTTAAACTTCAACAGAGGCCATGACTCCAGCAAGAATCGCTTCTCAGTAGCGGAGAGTCCAGACCCTCGTACGGAGCAAAGCGAAGAACAGGGGTCTGGTTTTAACCAGGCTAATTACAAAGCTATGCTGAACCAAAAATAACAAGTAACAAAAAGCTCCCTAGAAATGTAGTGGAGTAAAAAGTACAATATTTGTCTTAGTACAGTACAGTACTCAAGTAAATGGACTCCAATACTATCCACCACTGTTTATACTTAAAATAAGACACATTGCCTAAAAAGCYACTTGTTTTAGACTAATTTGTAAGTGAATATTTGCTTTTTATTMTAAGTGTAAAGAGATTTGGACTGGAAATAAAACATTTTGACTAGAAATAAGAAGTATTTTTTGAAAAATTTTGAGGTTTTGCAGTGAACCTATTTATTTAACATGGTTTGCTGTTATGTTCAGCAGCACTTTATTTTCTTGCATGCGGGATCCCTTAGCAGGGAGATTTTTGCCCATCTGCAGTGCAAACACTTTGAGTTGGTTCTCGAGGCCAACCCAAACACTGAAAAAGTCATAGTTGGAGTGATGGCTGCGGCTATAAAAATGGTACTGTACCATCACAAATGCATTGGTCTACACAGGTCTGGCCACGAAGTATAATGTCACAATAGAACAAAAGTTTCTGGTTGAAGGGCACACACAAATGGAGTGTGACTCCATGTATAGCCTCATTGAATGGTGCATCATCAAAGATATTCACACTCCACGTGACTACATTGTCATTTCCGAGACCYRARGTCTGCATCCATCCCCATACAAGGTCACCCAMCTATWCCACAATGACTTCATGAAGTTATCTGGAGCCTATGTCACCAACATTTGACCAGGAAGATAAACTGGAGACCCCACAGTCCATGACCTTCAGGTTCTCCAGTATCTGGCAGATGGTCGAATCTGGTACAAGCTGGATTTTGAGTCTGTCTGGGAGSACCTGCCTCAGTGAATCAGCATCTCCACATCTCCACCATTCATTAGGTCCTATTCTTTCCTGCCCAACCACCAATTACTCTCTGGAAATTCAATGACTTGCAGGCAATGAAACCAGTACTACAAAGGGTGGCCCACTATTAATCTGACAACTTCCCTCATCAGTAGACGGTGTGAAAACAAGTTAACACAGCACCTGAGCTGGACTTTGATTAAAGCTAGACAGGTACAACAACCTTTTTAATGTTAAAATTTAAAACAACTTGCTAAATGTTAGAAAATTAACACAACTTGGTTATGTTTAGGAGAGTAAACCAACATTGGTTAGGGTATTGTTGGGTTTATATGTAATAGAAAATTTGCCTAAGTCAATGCATTTTCTGCCTAAGTCAGTTTTATTAGTTATGCAATCAGTGTTGTGTCTTACTTTTTTTGGACACTTGTTCACACATCTCACTGAACATTCTGTTACAATATTAATAAAAAATTCCAWTATGCTTTCTGAAAAAATAGTTTTTTCTTGTTTTCCGAAAATGTTCAAAAATGACTTAGGCAATTATGCTATGTGGCTAACGGTATGTAAGTTTAAGTATTAACACGTTATATTCTCCAAACCTTACATTATTAATTATTAAAACTATATTACGTTTAAGTATTTATTCTTTTTTCTCTCTCATACTGTCAAAGATAATAAACTTTAAGGTAAGTGGTCAAAGTTCATTAAGTATTTAGTAGTTTCCAACGCAAACGTTTACACAAACCACATGATGTRATATTTGCTGGTTTGTCAAATTCCACTTGTGACTAGTTTAAACTATTTTGCACGTTAATATTTTGCATTAGATTACGGCTCCTGATTTTATCTGTTTCCCCTCAGACGCACACTGTTGCAAAACAGTTGTTGAAATGCTACAGACCAACGACTTCACATCCTGCTCAAACAGCAAACAGGGAGGTAAAGCTGCCAGGTTTAGACATGCAGATTTAAARGTGTGCCTTTAGTTAGTAAAAAGTCACCTCTGCAGTGTCTCTGAACAGCTGGAAACCTAATTTCTAAACATGGACTTCAAACCTCAAAGTGCTTTTCTGATTGCGACACTTGGTGAGCCTTTTCTCCCCCGTTTTTTTTTTTACTGTAACAGCTTCAGTTTTAAAGTTTCCTGACCCGTTAACTTTGTTTTTGTTTGTTCTCCCCTCTAGCTGTGGTGAACATCATCTGGTGGATGGTAATGATAGGAGCCATTGCATTGGGTGGGTTTACTTTTATACTTCAGTTTTTAAAACACACATTTCACATTTCATGTGTGTTATGTGGTTTCTTCATAGGGGCCACACATCTGGATCYTTGTCCTGTGCAGCCAGACATCCCCATTTACTTAATAGTTCTGGGAGCAAGCAGCATCATCGCTCTGGTTTTCACCTACTGCACCGAAATGACTGGAGTCATTCGTATCCTAAGCTCAGCCTTYATGACAGTCTTGCACATCTTCAACTTTGCATGGTTAATAGCAGGTGCGACACAACAAAACATTTTCTGACAAGTGATGTCGATTTTACTGCAAGAATCGACAAATCCTTTTGATTTAGAAGCATCCTTCAGTGTAATTTGTTCTCCTTCCTGTAGGCACGTATTGGGTTTATTCAGTTTATCCTCCAAACTACTCTGGAACTGATCGATTCTGCCACAAGACGACCTACTTGTTTGCCTTTGTTATTACCACGCTGATGTGGATCACCGTGTCCTTCCTGTTCTTCTGCGGGTGCTGCTGTGCTTTTCTGGCCTGCTGCACGACTGTCGCTGCAAGACATCGCTTCATACCTAATCGCAACTCCTTCTATGGTGCAATAGGTAGTTTTCGTGAGCCAGCTGCTAGTGATGTGTGATTGAAATCTGAGGTCATTTTTTTATAATATACTTCATTTTTTGTTTCAATTGAAAAATAGCATTTCAGTATTTTAAACATTCGTTTCACCGTATCAGCTATCCACCCTAATCACCATTAGTTTTAGTGGTCTTTTGCAACATCTGATAACAGGTCACATGCTTCCTGTTTATATGAAACTGTCAACATCTGAACCACAATAAAATAGATGTAAGATTGTGCAATTGTCATGACTACATAAAATAGTGTTGTGTTTTTGTGGACAGTCACACAACTTTGTATATAATACAGAAATATTTACAAATTACAAGATTCTGACCATGTTTGCTATATATAGTGAAAGCTAAAATAGTGCTATTATTTTCTGAATTCTTACACTGCATTGTCCAAGGTTTTAATGTGTTTAATGTGTGTTTTTGTAGCTGTACCTGCATTCAGTACATTATGAATAAATAAAATATGAATGAATGAACATGATGTAACAAATGCAATTACTGGATTTCAGCAGCAATGTCATAATGTTCTATAATCCTATTCATTTACTGTAAGAACTGTGTGCAATGRTGACAAAACTAAAATCGAAAAATTGGAAAACCTTGAACTCAGCAGGTAAAAAAAGCCGGATCTGGTTTTGTTGTAATTTTTATACATTTTTGTAACAACTGTATAAAATGACGGGGGGAAAAAACCCAAAATTTTTGTAAAATGAACATAAGTGGATAAGACACACTTCTTCATGTGATCACTTCTCTTCAGGCTTTATTTTAGACCTCTAAATCGTTGTTGATGGGGTCCTTCTACGTCACACAAGCGACACAAGCGATTCTCTTTCTGCTGTGTTCATAAACGTCGTGTCTGCGGATATTTGAGTGCTATTTGTTGGATAAATTGATGTGTGTATCGCTGAATTGGAGGTCAGTGTGGACCTGTGAGTAATTTGTGTTTGTGTTGCTGTAGAAAGTTTTGTTGAACCGACATGTGGAGCTTCGGCCGCGGCGTCCTTCAGGATTTGCTCAGACAAGTAGCGGCTGTCAGGAGTTTCTCTCTGAGTCCCGCTCAGGTACGTTTCCTCTCATTGTTGTTATTTGCACAGTCTAAAACGGATCAAATTATCCTGTAGTTAAATTATTCCCAACCAGGGGTACGTGTACCCCTTGTGGTACGCGAGCATATTGCAGGGGGTACGTGGAAAAACTTCCRAGGTGTATAAATAAAAATAAAACCGAGATGTAATTGTAAGGCCCTATGATTTCCACAATGCGGGGATTGCAGTCGGAACCACAGAATTAACACAAAATGGAATCCAGTATAAAACGTGGAATCTCATGAAATTTGCTCATTTGGGTGGGTTTCTGACGTGTTTTGGACAATGCAGTGTAGTTTGGATGCTGCTGTTTTCTGCACCTGCCATTACCTGGTTTATTTATTTAATTACTTATTCACTTTCAAGGCAACGTTTTTATCTTTATGTTTTAATTTGAGTTGAAAAATTAAAATGAGAATTAAATGTTCAAGGGGGTTAATTAAATAATTTTCACTTAAATTAATACTCAATTATAATACATTATAGTTCTGGAGAATCATCAATATGTTTGACTGAAGGGGTACTAGTGGTGTGACAAAATGTGTCAGGGGGTACACAAGTCTAAAAATGTTTCCAGCACTTTCAGGACTTTGGAGAGTTCCTTCAGTCCTTTACACTGCCCAAGGTCCTGAAACATTCAAGCACTTTCAGGACCTTGGACAGTTCCTTCAGCCCTTCACACTGTCTGATGTCCTGAAACATTCAAGCACTTTCAGGACCTTGGACAGTTCTTTCAGCCCTTCACACTGTCTGATGTCCTGAAACATTCAAGCACTTTCAGGACCTGGGACATTTCCTTCAGCCCTTCACACTGTCTAAAGCAGTGATTCCCAACCAGGGGTGCACGAGCATACAGGGGGCACGTGGAAAAAATTCTCAAGTGTGTAAAATAAATAAATAAAACTGAGATACAGCGGGTAAAATAAGTATTGAGCATGTCAACATTTTTCTCAGTAAATATATTACTAGAGGTGCTAATG